CTAACATTTGCGGGCGGAAACTAAGTTAAGGTCCTAATACATGATTGATTTAATGTTTATGCGCACTTAATGCATCCATTCTGATTCCCTTATAGAAATATCATACTAAGAATCATTGATAATTACTTATTATCCAGTATTTTTAATACTGAAAATAAGTAATTATCAATGATTCTTAGTATGATATTTCTATAAGGGTTGGTGCAGTCTATAACTCACTTAATCGAATTCTAAGGTCTATCGTTCTCTATCATTCTCTCTTATTCAATCGTTGGAATATGATTAGAATTAATTCCAAGTAATCACGACAAAAAGAAATAATATTGTTGTCTATCTAGAGCTGCGTTCGGGGAGACGCTATTTAGCGCTATGAGCGTTCTCTGTCCTTGTTCAACTTTCAGGAACAAACAAGGACAGAGCACACTCATAGCGTTAAATAACGTCTCCTCGAACGCAGCCTAAGTGTACTATTCACAGAATCGAATTCTCTTAACGATCGTTTCATATCATTTCTTTTTCCATAATTATGAATTAACAAAAGCCTAGTCAATCATAAAAAATCAATTGTAAATTCATAGAATGCGCATCGTAATCTATCGTAAAGTCGTTACGTCAAGAATGGATATTTTCCTATCGTATTATTTTAAAGATTGTAACACATTATGGCTAAATATTTTGCACATTCTAATTTTTTAATAAGATACTTATGCAAAGAGAACACACACATAAAGAATCAATCGTGAATTTATGATTGATTTTTTATAATTGACTAAGTTTCCGTTAATTCATGAATGATTATGGAAAAAGAAACGATAAAAAACGAATAAGAGAATTCGATTCTGTGAATAGTATATTTAGATAGACAACGATATTATTTCTTTCGGATTCGATATAGTGAAATGATACATTACGGTAGAAAACAATTAAATTCTCCGCAAATTCCATCAGTTTCTATCGCTTCCTCTTTTTCGTTTATTATAGAAATTATCGTTATCATAGAAATTTATTACAGTTTGAATTTTAGTTATTTTTACTGTCTTATAAAGTGACCTCGTAATTGTAATTGCAAATGTGTGGGTCTAATCTTCAAAAGATTATTTTATTTTATTTACGAGTTTACGCTAAACGAAAAGATACATGATCGATTTAATATTTGCACACGTAATATGCGTCCATTCTGATTGGAGCAGTCAATACGGAAATCTTTATAATATTTCACCTTCGAAAATCTTTTTTTTCTCGCCAATTAATTTTAAATTCAGATTACATGTTTGCAATGCGGATCGCGGACTTCACAAGCGCAGATTGATATAACACTATAAGAAAATATACTTGAAATTGTAATTACAGCTTGATATGTACATCTAATAGTCATAAATCTTTTCCTCTAGTCTAATGTAAATTCGTGAACATGTTGCTTATTGCAGCCTATATATATTACAAACTCAATCTGATGGACAAACGCGCGTCGCTTGTGTGCATGCGTATATGTGTGATCTGAAGCTAAATCGCTTGGCGATGTAAATGCGGCTTGATGAACAAACTGATTCGCTTGTGTGCGTGCGTACGTGTGTTTGGAAAAAAATGAGAATCTTGCGCGAAAATAAAAAGGCTTTTTAGCGGGCGAGGTTTCGAGATCTCCGTATTGCCTGCATCAATTTTAATCAAACTTGGTGCAAATTACGCGCGCGCTAATTATATCAGGAAAATTTCATCAGATTTTCGATTATAGTTTTCATACTTGAGATATTTGACTCGGAAGACCAATCGAGCCAGAAATTCCAGATAAGCTTACACGGTCGCGTTGTTTTGTTCGATACGTACTCGGCGTCGCGCTGGGACCGCGGCGCTCGATATAATAGATTTCTAATTAAA